CTCTGAATTGTTTGCCTCAAAACAAGAAAAGTTCTATTGGATGGTACCCACAAATTACCTGAAAGATGGGGGAAATGTGTAGCTTGCAATGGACATTACTTTGAATAAAGCACTTTTGATGTTTCTGTTGAAATTCTCGTGTTTTCTTTGATTACAAAATCCACCATTATTAACCAGTACACCTAGTATGAGTAAGTACTCCAAGAATTAGGTCCTGCTTTGACACTTGGCATAGCCGTTAGCAGAATTCAGAAGAATATATGGACTCAGAGCATTTACGCTCTGACACCATCTCAACATGCCCTGAGCTCCCTGCTTCACACCTGGGAGAGTTAGATCCTCAGCTTCCTTTCTCAGCCCCTCCTGGAAAAGAAAAGGCCCACCTGGTTCCTCTTCCTGGCCTTCCTGATGCCCAAACCTCCAGCTCCCAGTCCCAGCTCAACCCCAGTTTGCCCAAAGCCAAAACAAGGAACTCCCTTCAACAGCATATGGTGTCTGAGAGTTAAAATAATGCATTGTTTCATAAACAAAAACATAATTATTTCCTCAGCTTTGCACAGCATTTCAGTGTACCAAGCGCTGAGCCTCAAGCTTCTCACAGAAATAACATGGGGGTAGCGGGAGGGGTGGTCTTCCCGAGATCCTGCCACGGGTAGCACGGAAGGGGGCTGAAGCCAACGGCTCAGGACTCATGGGTGACTGTTCTTTCCAAACGATCCTCTAGAAATTGAGGAAACATTCATTCTGAAATAGCAAACATGACTATAAAGGTGAATGTGTGCAGGGGAAATGGGTGGGCTTCCCATTCAAGAAGAGATGTCAAAAGAAACTAGTACGTTTGGTGAAAAAAGGGCAGATACAGCCGAACAGAAAGCCTCGCCTACAGGCTCTGCTGAGCTGAACCCAGAGTGAGCAGAAGCATGTGTGTGTGTGGATAAAACATAAATTGTGAGAATGAATAAGACAGAGCCACTTTCAAAAGCAAGGGAAACATCTTTCTGGACTCGACATAGAAGACAAAAACAAGAGGAGGCGCTGGCTGAGTTGCAGGTGTGCTGGGATTGGTGCCAAGAGGCAGGCAGAGTTGGCCGGGAGCTCTAGCCCTTGGGGAACAAGGGACTAAAGGTGTCGCACGTAAGGCAGGGGTTTTGATTCAAACTCACTGGGCCTGGCAGGTGCTTGAGAAAGGAGTTAAAACAAACTGTGATGCACCTGGCCCAGGGTTGGGTTCGCATGAAGCTCTGTGACTCGGAAGGTGGAGGTAGGGAGGTGCAGCCTCCCAGCCAGGCCCTGGGACACCCAGCCAGGCTCTTAAGTGCATCCTCTTCCATCCCCTCAGAGAACTGGAGCCTTAACTACCCATCGAGACCAGCTCCTTTGATGGGGGCCTCGGTGGCTGTTGGAGATGACTATCAAAGTGAATGCGTGCAGGGGAAATGGGTGGGCTTCCCATTCAAGATAATCGTACAAAGCCAAGTTCCACAGGACGTGAGGAAGTCTAACGCTAAGAAAGAAGCCAATTCTCGGGAGGCTAATTCACCCAGGCCAAAGCAGGGTGATAGAGCAACCACCAAACAGCTGCTCTGGTTATACAGGGTCCACATGGATAAAGGAGAAATAACATGAATCATAACAACAAGGAAATGTGCAACCAGAGCAAACAGAAATGAAGCAAGGGCAGGTATTGTACTTAAGAAACAAGATGTAAAATCAAAGGAAATGAGTGTCATGCAAGAAACAAAGGTGAACTCAGAAATTGGTAAAAACACATGGACAGCCCTAACCGGTTTACCTCAGGGGATAGAGGGTTTCCCTGCGGACTCAAGGGTCCAGATTCAATTCCGGTCAAGGGCATGTACCTTGGTTGCGGGCACATCCCCAGTAGCGGGGTGTACAGGAGGCAGGTAATTGATTTTTTTCTCTCATTGATGTTTCTAACTCTCTATCCCTCTCCCTTCCTCTCTGTAAAAAAAAAATAAAATATATTTTAAAAACATGGACAAATTTGTTTGTAAAATAATTCTATTTAATTACTGTATAATTACTAAATAATAATAATTTCTAGACCATAAGACATCAGGGTTCTGTGAGTAAAGTATATTATCTGATAGAGAATATAAATAGTGACTAACCTTTGACTTTCTTATAAAAATTAATAGCAAAATAGAAATGTCAAAAACATAAAGGTCATTGTTAAAAGAACAGTAATACTTTATAGTTTCCAAGTCAACGGGAGAAGGGAGGAATTAAAAAAACATCTAACCATCTAATGACAGTTTAAAAGTAGGAAAACAGAAGTAAAGAAAAATATAAGTAAGTTGGTAGACACAGTACAGCAGCAATCACACAAAAAGGTTAGCAGTTAAACTCATCCGTTAAAGAACAGAGAGACTACCAGTTTAGATTTTTTTAAATCCAACTACATGTTGATTACAAATGACAGAGAAATTTTGAAATAGAGAAAATAAAAAAATAAGACCAGGCAAATATTAAAAGAAAGCAATACTAATATGAGACAAAATTTAAGGCAAAAATAACAATAAGAGAAATAAAGAAGTACAATACATCATGATTTAAAAAAACACTCCACTAAAGAGATATAATAGCCATGAACTTCTATCATCTAAATATCCTGTCTCAAAATATATAGAGAGTAAAAACTGGAAGAATTACTAGGAAATATTGATAAATACCCAAATGCAGAAGAAGAGCTAGTGCACTCACCAGAAACAAATAAATCAGGCAATAAGATCATTTGAACCACATAATTCAAAGATTGATCTAACAGAGAAATATGTAACCCTGCTCCCATAAAGCATGGAATGTAAATTTTTAAAAATTATTTTATTGATTTCAGAGAGAAGGGAGAGGGATAGAGAAATAGAAACATTAATGATAAGAGAGAATAATTGATCAGCTGCTTCCTTCCCATCCGCAATTGGGGATCGAGCCCACAACTGGGACACATGCCCTGACTGAGAATTGAACTGTGACCTCCGAGTTCATAGGTCAACACTTATCCACTGAGCCACACCAGCTGGTCTGGAATATAAATTTTTCAGTCACATAAAGCACATTATAAAAATTGACTTGGAAAAAATAAATAAATAAAGTAAAAATAAAGTAAAAAAATTGATTTTGCACCAGGTCGAAAAGGTAATATTGACAAATTGGAAATAATCCATTTCACAGACAATAGGGTGATTAAGGCCTGGGATGATGTGGGAACCAGGTAGAGGGGGAAAATGAGAGATATCTGTAATACTCTCTACAATAAAGGTTTAAAATATATATATCCATAGATGATCATATTAACAAACAAACTTCCGCCCTAGCTGGTTTGGCTCAGTGGAGCATCCGTTGGCCTACAGACTGAAGGGTCCTGGGTTCAATTCTGCCCAAGGGCACATGCCAGGGTTGTGGGCTCCATCTCCAGTAGGGGGTGTGCAGGAGGCAGCTTCCTCTCTGAAATTAATAAAAATATATTGGGGGAGGGGAAGAAGGCAGAAAGAAAGAAACTTCCAAGTTTATTTTTCCAAAATTTAATAAGATACAGAAGTTGGAGTGTATTGGTTCCTTTGTTGTCACTCATTAAAATAACCATGAGATTTTTACTATCCTCCCAGTTCATTATTTTTATCTGGAGCCTCCCGGCTGGTGAACTGCAAATGGGTTGTAAGTATGGACCCCTCAGACTGAAGCCCCAATGC